TCGCCGGAGTCGGTCTCTCCAGCCGTTTCCTCTCTACGTGCTCACCATCCGACACCCGCCCTCCGCACGCTGTGAGCCGTTTCACGTCACACGAGCGGCCCGACACGGATGGCCGTCCGCGGCCGGTACCCGAGCGGGGCGGGGAGGGGGGAAGGGGAAGGGGGAGGAGGCGGCTGGCGGGACACCACACCCTGACAGCTGAGACCCGCGGCCGGCGGTGCGGCGGCGGCAGGGGCGGCGCATGGCGGCCGGCCCGACGGACAGGAGCGGCGGCAGACAATCGGGCGAGGTGGCCCACAGCGTCATCCACTAGGCGCTCACCACAGGCAGGCGACTGTCGCCCACCGCGCCGGCATTCACCACACACCACACCGTAACGGAGGCAACGAGAGCGTAGAACGGTGACGGCCAGACGTCCCACGTGATGGCTGGCCGTCACCTGAGCGGGACCGCGAGAGGCGGGGCTGGTCAGCCTGAGCAGGACCGCTTGGGTATCTGCTCAGACGGAGACCAAATGGCCAGCCGAGCGGGCTCTCCAGCGAGATCGCGATGCATATGGACAGCGGGACAAGGCCGAGCGCCGCTGTCCGGTAACGGCAGGCGGCTCCAACGCAGACAGACAGCTGCAGGACAGCCGGATGTAAACACCGGTCAGCAGCCCAGCCGGCCGAAACGGCCAGCAGCCAGGCTGGTACCAGTCGCGGCATCTGCTCCGCTCCGACGGCAGGTGAGGTCAGCGGTCAGGTTCTTCTCATGGCCCGGTGATAGCATAAGGCGCGACACTGAGCAGCGCAGTTAAAAAATGCAAAAGGTGGGATCAAGGATTTTTGATAAGTGGAGAATCACCTACGGACATCCAACAACAGAATCCCGAAACCGATGCTGGAAGCCACACAAGGCTTACACCAGCGGCCGACATGCTGAAATATTCAAAATGCCACAACCAATGTCATACGGAACGTGCGCCATGACACCATTCGTCCTGCTGATCTTTCAGTGGTGCGTTGAACAATATCGTCGAAACCAATTGCAACGAAAATGCCGCGGAAAGACCTCGTGAATAATCCCTGTAGATGTCTCCAAAGAAGTATACGGGCCAAAGGGAACACAATGTAGGGTTCAATCCACCCGGTCCGTGGGGGCACAGTGGAAGCACCACATCCGCGTCCAACACTACCCTGTAGCAGGTCAAAGGCCGCCAGATCCTGTCTCCGCTTGGCATCAGCAGCGGCGGCCGTAGAGCCCGTCCCCTGGCTCGAGTCCAGACGCGGCGAACCCTCAGCTGCGCCTCTATCCTGAGCATCCGCAACGACTCCTGCCGCCACAGCCAATCCAGAGGAGCCTCCTGTCGCATCCGTCGATCCAGCAGAGGTCCCTGCTGCACCCGTCGATCCAGTGGATGCTTCTCCTGCCTCCGCGGGTCCAGCGGCGCACCCCGACGTCTCCGCGGGTCGCGCGGGCGCCAAGACTCTCGCCGTCTCCGCCTGGCCGGAGTCGGCTCCTCCAGGGGGCTCCGACGGCGCGGCGCGCTCGGCCGTCACCGCCGCCTCCTCCAGACCGCGGTCGAGTTCGTCGGCGCCGTCGGCAACAGTCACGCTATCCAATGTCGCCGTCGCTCCACCCCCCTCAGGCATAGCACGGGCCGCAGATGCTCGCGGGCAAAAACTCGGGAGCGCGACGCGGGGCGGCTCGCTGTCCGACAGTCGCGGCGGAACACACGGCAGCAGCGGCGGCCGCCGATCGATTGAACCCGCCGACGGCCGAGCAGCTGTGCCGGTGAATCAGACACATGCCCGGCCGCCGCCCGCTTCAGGCGCACCTCCCCGATAATGGGGTGATAACGACGAGCAACTCTGGCCCAGATGGCGGTCCGCAGCGCCGCGCCGAGACCGGGTCTGAGACGGCGGCCCGCCGGCGCCGGCCGAGACCGGGTCTGGAGCGCGGCCCGTCAGCGCCGGCCGAGACCGGGTCTGGAGACGGCGGCCCGCCGGCGCCGGCCGAGACCGGGTCTGGAGACGGCGGCCCGCCGGCGCCGGCCGAAGGACGACGGCCCCGTCGGCGCCAGCCGAGACCGGGGTTGGACGACAGCGAAGCGGGTGAGTAGCGTCCAGCTAATGCTTATATGCCGTCACTAATATCCGCACTCAATGCCCAGACGAAACTATTCTAAACGGGGAATAATCCACCATACCGCTATCGGTCACCGGGTGACGTAAGTACGGCGAAATTGTTCATTGAGTGAGTGCAGACTTCGACTACAGCCTGATCTCGCACGCTGCAAACTTCGTTTTGCGTAACACCACAGGAAGTTGTTGGTTATTTGATTATTTAGACGACGGTCCTTTCGACTCGAAATTATTATTTCAGGGATATGGGACAGGACTATACGCGCATGCGAACCCAACCGCCGAGCCTTAGTCCGCGCAGGGGCATCTCCGCGGGGTACGTGCCAGGCGCCCGGTCCGGGTCTCCCTCCAGGGGACCTCCCGGCCCACTCGTGGCTGGCGCATGCAGCCTTCCCCGACGAAGCAGGGAGTCGCGAGGATGCAGGATAACGCACGGAACACAGATAAAAGCGTCGTGTCACACCGCGGGAGGTAAGCGCGCATCCCTGTAGCCTGTTTCGAGCACGTGCCGAGCTGCTGCCGTAAGAGGGACTGGAACACAGCGCGCCTTGGAACACAGCGTGCTTGACAACCGCCTGACAAGCGCGACACCGGGGCAGTCCATCACTGGCCGGTGCTTAATGACGCGAGCCAGACCATCTGAACGGAAAACAGACCGCCGTCGGCGGCCCGGCGCGGCGACCAGCCAAGCTGGGCTCCGTTCGGCCACCGAGGCCGGCTGTCCGCCTGTAGCCGCGCCTCCGTAATGACAGCCGCAGTCGTCCAGCCCGCGACCGGAAGCGACCGTGCATGCCCGCAGCGCTAGAGGTGATACGGCCACGTTCAGCTATTGTTCTGACCGGTCCATGGACGTTTGTGCGGATTATTTTGACAAGCTGATTGTCCGGATCCATCAATGTCGTGCACTGTGTTTTAAATATCCATGTCGTACCTTTCAAGCAATTCCAACAAGCAAGCCGTGCAAATGCGCGTTTTATCAAAATAAAAAAACAGCGATAACACACCACTCCTAGTCAAACACCCATCACACAACCTCTCGTGATCCAGAGGTTTCCTGCCTAGAACCCAAAGCCACTCATGCCCGACCAACAGCACTATGACTGACCGTTTGTTGGCATTATTAACACCGTCCCAGTACCGACTCTCGAGGAAGCCAGTCCGAGCGCGACTCAGAGCACACCACGAGGCATTCGTCCACGTGCAGCGTCTCTCGGCGGGCCGGCGGCGACATTCGGGGAGAACACGACTCTGCCGACGGCACTCCAGTCCCACCAGAGCAAACTGCCCGTTCGCCAGCGACTGCCTTCTGCGGTGATCAACATCGCCGAGCTCGCCACACGGCCGGCGGCAGGGGACGCCGCGGGTCACCGCGCCCGGCGCACACACCGGCCACTGGCCACCGGCGCCAGCGGCCGGCGCCAGGGCACGGCCAGGCCAGGCGCAGGCGCC